CTTCATTTCTTTTCCAAACTGAATTAAATATTTTTAAATATTCATAATTTTTAACCTTTCCAATAACACCAATGCCTCCTCGTAGAGACTAGCCTTTGGTTTGCAACTTATGTATTCCAGGAAAAGTGCAATTGAAGTTGTTGAGTTAAAAAAAAAACCTAGATCGATTTTTATTTTATTGTTTGTAAACATTTCTTTTCCTCGACGAATAACATCGGAATCTTCAGTGCTGGGTTTTATAACTACTGAACGTATTTGATTGAAATTATTGCAATAATAGCTCTGATACAGTACTCCATGAAGTTACAGGAAAAATTATCCCGTACTCCAAAATCCTGTAAATGAGAATGATTTGTTGAGAGTTGGGTAGAGAACGAAGTTTCAAGATTTTACCCAAACTTTTTCTTCTGGTAAAATCATGAAAAGTGTTAAGCGGTAAGCTGTTTCACGTTTTTACAGGAAAAATGCTTTTTGTTCCGTTACTTTTTGCTGTTTGACAATTTTATAGGGTTTTACACGAAAAGTATTGGATCGGAGCTAATATTCAACTGCGCCAAGCCAGAGTACAGTGTTTCGAATTAACAAGCTACAAATAAAGTTACTAGCGGCCGCTTTCTCAAATAGGTATTAAAATTTATCTGCCCCTTAAAAAGAAATTTTCTTCCGAAATCTAAACTGTCCAATATTTTTAATTTTTTTTCACAAAAATTCTAAATTGGCAAAAAAGGAATTGAAAATCAGCCTTTATAACGCAGCAGCATAAATGCTAATTATTGGGTCGTGCAAAGCAAAGCAAGAAAATCGCACCAATTTTTATTTATTTTTTTCTATATTTAAAAAATGTTGACAATTTTTCGACACTTTAGAAATCTACTATAAGCAAAAACAAAGTTTATGCAAATGTTGTTTTTGCTGTAATTCTACTACCTGTTTGATGTGCCTTGGCCAGAATATTTCTTTTTATCCTCCAACTCTGGTGTTACTAAATAATTTTGGATTCCTATTAAATGCCAAATAAGATTTATTTTAAGAAATTTGCAAAAATTTTCGGACGAGTTGCCTACACAGTAAAAAATTTAGTTTAATTTTAATACCATTTTGGTGTTTATATATAACAATGACAGAAAGTATTAGATTAAAACCATACTGGTTTAAGCAAAGAGGGAGAGAAAAGATTGAGAGAGTATGTATTATTGCTATTAAATTAAAAATATATTTGGAATTAATTCAAATAAGCTTTTCTTCTTAGAAACAAACCNGATTTAGTATATCGTTCGTATTAAAAATAACTTAAATGGTTTTGGATCTATATGATAATTGGAATAGATTTTATAGTTTATGGAATTAAATCTAAACCGATATTAGATTAGATTTAGGATATTGTTCGTATTAAAAGTAACAGAGATGGTTTTGGATCTATCTGATAATTGGAATGGATTTAATACTTTTATGGAATATAATCAAAAACAAAATTGGATTAGATTTACTATATTGTTGGTATTAAAAGCAAACCCTTAAAGGTTTTTCCCCAATGCGTACAGTGCTCAACAAATTTACACCCCCGTTAATAAAACATACCACATTTCACGTACAATTAAGGAGAAATTTGATATTTTTTAAAATAAGGATTGCTTGTTTGAACATTATGGAAAGCTATGTGCTGAAAATAAAAATCAAAATAAAATTTTGTTAAGAAATACATTTTATTTGAAATAACTTAAAATTATATTAGAGGAACAATAGCTTAATTTAATAATAGATTTTATTCAATTAGTTCACAGGACATAAAAGTTTGTCTTTCTACATTGTTTTCCTCTTCTAAATTTTGTTGAATATTGTTTAAGTCATCGGTCAATTCACCCCGAAAAGTAATACAGTTTTCCTTAAATAAATTCTCTCTTATCTCAGGATGTTTTTCTATTAAGTACCTTTCAAATTTATCAAAGCTGTTATTTATTAGAACTTCAAACGATGTAAATATTTCACCAATTTTTGTTTCTGAAATTCCACATAATATCAACTTTTTTGAAAGTGATGAAGCAATCGAGAAAGCTTCAAAATTCTCTACTGAAGAAAAATAGCAAGATGGTCTATCATTGTCAATGGCAGGACTTTGAGTATTTACATTTTCTGGTTTTGATATTTGTTCAATTTTCTTTTTTGGAATTTCGCTGCTTATATTAATAGGATTACAAAGTTTGGAATGCCTACTTAACGAACTAAATGTATTAAATACTCTTTTACATGTTTTAGAGGAAACACACCTTAACTTTAAACCGTGAGCCTCCGCTAAAAAATGTTAATTTTTTAAATGAAATACAACATTTGTTACGGTTTCAAATTCTCTGGAACATAAAAAGCAAAATTTTGCCATTTTTTTTATATGAAACTTACTTCATTAATTCCTTTAACTTATTCTCGAATTTCGATTGCACTTCTAATAACCTAGTACTTGGCTTCTTATTATCGTTGATTTTGTAAATAAATTTGTCAAAAAACCCCAAGAAGTTCGCCAAAGTTACATCAAATTGTATATTAAATACATAAAATGCTTTAAAATACAGGTCGAATACTTGGCTGAATTTATAATTGATGGGAACATTTACCTTCTTGCCATTAATGGTTATAAAATACTGACAAATTGTGGCTCTGTCTTGTCCAACTGCAACGATGGTGGGCTGACTAGTCTCAGCTGCATATTCTGCGATAGGGGTGTTGAGCTACAAAGAAAAAATTGTGTTATTTGTGTTGATTAAGAATAAACATTTTATAGTAAATTACGTTTTCAAAGGAAAGAAAACTATCGACAGATTTTTGAAAGTTTACTTTCTTTTGGGCGCGTCCACTGGCAGTAGATGGCAGCAGCTTTAAAAGCATCAAATAAGGTAGCACTTCAGTGGCCCAATCAGTACAGTTTCCCAGACTAGGTCCGCCAGCGGCATCAATTAAAATTTTCTCCACACAGCTTTCATATTTTTCCCAGTTTTCTAAAAGACTGTTCGAAATCGCCTCTCCATTCCGAAGATTAAAATCAAAATCAATCTACAAAAAAATTATTGTTTCTTTTTTTATACATATATACGTAGTATTATTGTGTATACACTACCAATGACGAATCATATAAAAATATTGGGAAATGTTCCAAAACATTAGATTCAGTTGCGATAAACTTTTGTCTTGCTTTTAACGTTTCCTGCAATTTCTGTTGAACCAGTTGCAGTTCGTCTGCAACAATGCAGTTTTGAAAAAAGTGAAGATCTTCTACAGAAATTACCGCTTCATCATCGCTTTCCTTGTCGACCTCAGATAGTTTACGTTTTTTTTTTCCACCGCTGTCGAGTTTCGTAAGCTTGGTGTTTATGGTTTTTAACTTTGCAGCTAAATAGCCGGAATTGTTCTCTGGATTGTAGAACAAATCCTGAAATTATTTTTGAGTTTCGTTAAGATCGTATGGTATGTAAATGTATTAAGAGTTCAAAATGCATACTTACAATTCCCCCAAATTTGCTATTAGCAATCTTAAAAGCTGGAAAAATACATATTATTGATTCAGCTAGTGCAATTTTTTCCCCACGCTTCGGGTGATTTCCACAATGTTGGCGTAAAAAGTTAGTAGACTCGCGCACTAACGAGCGGCGGGAACTATCACTTAAAGTGTTGCTTTTTTTGTATTCCTCAAGAATGCAAGAGAAATCTCCGCTTTTTATGTAGTTTTCCAGCGCCTGTTCAAATTTATTCATTACAACAAGTCTTCCACTTTCAGTGTGCAACACTAACCTCGTGATTTAAGCTTAACACCACTGATGATTGGGATGATTGTTCTTTTGTCGAATTTTCATTTATTTCCAACAAAAAACAGCTACAGCCTTTATATTGATAAAGAATTTCCTGGAAATAATCCACGAAAATTTCAGCTCCGTCGCGGTCTCGCAACGTTATTGCACAGTCGGGATTGATCTTTAATTGTTCCACAACTGAAAAGAAATACAATTATCTTTCATAAAACTTGAGTAATTTTTTAGATTACTTACTTGATATAATTGTTTCATTCGTCGAGAATTCCTCATTTTCAGGATTTCATATTTTTATTAAATGCACTACCTCGTGGTATTTAACTTTCAGAAACATTATGACGCTTCTCCAAAAGTGGAACACGTGATACTGATTGAGAGTGAGAAAACTTCTTAGTATTTTTCTGGTTTTGTTTTAAAACCAAAAATACTAAAGTTGGGAGTACATTAAATATCATTCAGAGTGAGAGAACCTTCTTAATACTTTTTTTGGTTTTGTTTTTAACCAAAAATACTTAAAACATTAGAGAGAGCATTCTAATGCCTTTTGTGCCTTAAATTAAAACTAAAAAGAATCAATATTTTGAAAACAAAGCGTTCAACACTGATTAAGGTTTTGCTTTTAAACCATTTTGGATTTAATGAAATTGCAAGAATATTTCATAGTTTAAAAATAAAACTTTTTGGTATTAAAAATCAAATTTAATTCAAAAAATCTTTAAATTAAATACTCACTGGAATTAAAAGTAAACTATGATTTTTTACTGTGTACTATATGCGTGCATTGTATGAGAGGATTGTAGAAAGCATGTCGGTGAGCACAGTGATAAAGAAAAGTATGAAAAAGGAAACATTTTCACTGATTTTACTAATGAAAAATTGAGCGAATATGTTTTGTATGAAGGTTTCCAGTATTAGTAAAAATTGTATAGCAATTTATTGAAAAGAAAAAAGAGCAAAAATTAATATTGAGTTTAAAAATAGAAAATAGTTGGGCAATTAATACTTAAAAAAAAAATTTAACAATTTTAGGCAATTTCTTAATATTTACTTGTGAAAATGTAAAATTCTTTCCAAACAACAACTTATTAAGGATGGCCCGGTTTACTCGACTCACAGTTAAAGCTTAAACAGACGGCAGCGTCGATCCGGATTAACTCGGGCTTTTAGGAAATCGGTAAATTGATCTTTCCCATTTCCCAGTTTCCCAGTAAGCCCGTATTTTTACTTTAAGTTGCACTACGACTTTATCTTCGGCTCGCTGGCTTGACTTTATTCCCATTGATAGAACTTAGTACAAACTTTTCAATTTCATCAAATTGTTTATTTTATTGTGCCTTTCTTTTTAGAACCACGTTTACGGCTTACCAGCTGGAAGAACTGGAACGTGCCTTTGAGCGTGCCCCTTATCCAGATGTGTTCGCACGCGAAGAGCTCGCCATTAAACTTAACCTAAGCGAATCTCGAGTTCAAGTGTGGTTTCAGAACCGCCGGGCTAAGTGGCGCAAGCATGAACCACCGCGGAAAACCGGCTTCATCAAGACAAGCACACCGCCCACCTCCTCAATGAACACGCCGCTCGGACCACCGTTTGCTACCTTCCCACAAACGACTACCGTTACGCCACCAGGCAGCATGGATAGCTGGACAAGCTATCAACCACCGTATGAACTGAGCCCCCAATTCAGTCTGCTCTCACCGGCCGCCAGTCCTTATGGTACTTATTCTAGCCAATACGGCACCTACGTCCACGAAAGCCAACTCTTCCCCATGCGCCATTTCGAATATGGCAGTCCACCCCGGTTGGAAATGGGTGGCCCTGGTAGTGGTGCGGATGATGGCGGCGCAACGCATAAAATACACTCCACCGATGGCGGCTATGGCACATCGCCGTTGGATGAGGCCAATGCCCCTGGTCATATGGGCGACCACAATGTCGTAGTTATGCATCATCAGGTCACAAGTAATGGAAAATATCTATCTAGTGAGGAGGGGAAATATGTGAGCGTGGGTGGTGTGCCGCACACACTAAGCCCCTTGGATCCGCACCATGCCAATGGAGGCTGCCATATAGCAGAGGCTCAATCACACTCACACGATGGTCACAATGCGGTAATGAAACAACAACACTACGGTACTATTGTAACAGGATCGGTGGGCTCACAAAGTGTGGACGATCCGAGCAGTGATGGCACCACTTCCAGCCTACAAACTGTGATCAAGAATGAGGAGAATGGCAGTGGGCCAGGCCAAGGTGCCAACGTGACTCACAGTTACGTGTTGCCGCCTTTTTTGCACTAAAGGAAATGCTCTCACATCGGAAGCAGCGTCAATCTCAGATGCAATGGCCGCTGCCGACAACTGGCCAGATGAGTCATGAAATGATCCGACGCCGTCGAATTCAACGTAATAGTACAGGCAGCGGCATCGTCTTTAGAAGCTGTTTTCAACGGCCACTATGATGCGGATTTAGGTAGAAGGCAAACCCAAGGCACTCAGACACATTTTGTCCATGATGCGCTTTATGGTGAATTGAATATTCAAGAGTTGAAAAGCAGTTACTGCTAAATTAGCAGAGGAGTGAAGTGAAGAGCATTTCAGAAAAATATATTTTTTATTTAATACTATTAGTTCCTTTTTACTTTTAAGAGTACGTTCATGTTTATTAGGATACCTCACGAACAAAGAAAAAATTGCGGCTTTCCAAAGCGAATCATACGGTTTTTTTAATCTTAATGGTTCTTACCAAAATATTTTATTATAATTAAACTATTAAATTATAAATTATAAACGGGGTGCGTTTTTCGTTACAATGAAGTCCCTTGAATGTAGACATAAAATATATGCCTTAAGATTATAAAGAAAAAATTTCTTAAATCTAAATAAATGGCAAGGAAACTTGTATAACTCAGCTCATATCTTAAATCCAATTTTTTCATCTCGCACCACGATTTTTTTTTTTTAATCTATCTGACATATTTGCTGACTGAATTTTATAAACAGTAAAGAAGTGGAAAAAACGCTTTCATTAATAACTTTGAAATAAAAGCCCGCTAAAAATGGTCGATTTATTCGCATAAAACTTTATGTTTAACATGTTGGTAGAATTTGCAAAAAAAGTAATTTTTAAGCAAAAAAAAACCGACTTCAATTCGCATATACAAATTTAAGAGTACCGTTAATTTCTTCATGAGCGAATGATCGGATCTAACCAAATTAGTATGGCACCACCTTGGAGGCGCCGTTAAAAAAAGAATTATTGAAGTCGGTTAACGTGGTCTAAAGTTACAAAAAAAAAAATATTCCGACAAATTGATAACTTTTTCCCTTTTTTGAAGTCGGTTAAACTCAAACGCAATTCTTTTAAAATTATTCATTCATTAAAACACGAATTTTAGGAACTTCGCCAACGCGGTTTATCTCACGATGAGCCAAAATATTTTGGTAGGAGCTACATATATAATTTATAAAAATTTTAATTTGCTTGGGGAAAGAAATCCTATTGTTGTTTGGCTGGANTAAACGCAATTCTTTTAAAATTATTCATTCATGAAAACACGAATTTTAGGAACTTCGCCAACGCGGTTTATCTCACGATGAGCCAAAATATTTTGGTAGGAGCTATATAATTTATAAAAATTTTAATTTGCTTGGGGAAAGAAATCCTATTGTTGTTTGGCTGGACCGTGAGACTCTCGAATGTACATGTACATATGTATATATACATATATATATACAGACGCATATATGCATACATTAGGGTGGTCCAAAAATACAAAAGAGAATCAATTTTTTTCTTTTGAGATTTTACCGCTGCCACCAGATCGGAAGAATATCGAAAATAAGACAAGTATTTTTTTTTAAGTGGCTAATATTTATCCATATATTTTATAGCCATTTAAACTGCTGGCGAAACCGGCTGTAACAGGAGGAAAATAATTTTTTTTAAAGAATTACTCTAAAATGTTTTAAAACTAATATTTTTTGATCGAATACGAATATTTCACTTCTGAAGTCTCCAAAAAATAAAATGATCATACATAACTTTGAAATTTTACCATAAAATAAAAAATTTTTGTATATAAAAGATAAGATTATCGGGTATGAAAGAGATATCTGGAAAACTTTAAAAGCCCCGATTTCAAAATAAAAAAATAAGGGGATCCGCTTTAATTTCGATATTCTTCAGTTCTGGGGGTGGCTTGAAAAAAACTTTGGACCACCCTAATATGCATACATACAATTAATTTATAAACGCATATATTTTTAGAATGTAAGACGTTAAATAATTTGTCTAAAGTAAAACGAGATTAAAGGAAAGAGAACTATGTAAATAACTGGAAGGAGGAGAAACGTAAAAGCAACAGAATCCAGAGTCTTGCCATATTGTATATATATGTAGATGATGGTTATTAGATTGCCGTTATAAGTACGTGTGTATGTATGTATGTATGTAGGAAGTAATAGGGTAAAAAAACGTACTAATCAGCTAATTAGGACAAAGGGGAATAAAAAATTAACTTTACAAAATTAGAAAGAATGGTACTCACTTGTAAATTAAATATTTGACTAATTTGAAGCATTCCATATGTGCCTTTTTAATACATAAGTTTAAAAATATTGTTTAATACTATCTGCATTACATAGGGATTTTAAGTAATGTTGTGAAATGTTATGCGGTAAGAGCATAAATGCATTCCAAATGTGCCTTTTTTATGTTTGTACTAAAACAATTAGATCCGAACCTTTTCAATTAGTACAGAGATTTTTAAATTATAGAATTTTTAACCAAATCAATTTCCCTTTTTACTCTTGTAAAACACGGACTGTTGTGAAATTGACAATATCTTAATTTTATTTAAACTCATACAAGTTTTAGTTTTCTTTACATTTCATATTATAATTAGTTTAATAGTAGTGATATAATCGGTATTGCTAAGGGAATGGAGAAAACAACTTAAGAAAAACATGTTCAGCAAAAATATATATGCAAACCCCTTTGGTAAATATTTTAAATTTTAATTCATTTGTACCAAAGTTTCTTTGTAATTATAATTTTAATAAGGAAC